TTTTTTTTTTTTTTTTTTTTATTCAGTTACTCTTTTACTCTTCTATAAGAAAAATCTCGAAATGTTTGAAGAGAAAAAATTAAAAAAAAAAAAAAAAAAAAGAAATTAGTAAAATACTAGTAACAGCGTTATTAATTTTTTAAAATTTTAAAAGGGCATCTTCTTCCCCAACAGCGAGCACGCCCTCCCAGACCCCTCTTTACATATAATATAGGTACATATATATATAGGTACATGTATATACATATATATGTACATATCCTCGTGCGCTTGTTTATTTTGCCGAACTTTCGTATGTATATCCCCCATGTGCCATAAGCACTTGTGTATATATCTATATAAGTGAAGTTGGGAAAATGTGAAGTATACGCACAGGTACACGGATGTATATGCGTATATGTTATATATATGTATTATTTATATGTATGTTTTGTGTACCTTCTTCTGTTCCTTTTTTTACACCCACCGCCCATGAGAACGCCTTTCTATATGTATATGCCCGTCCTGCCCTTTGCCCATTTAATTTTTTAATTCAGTCGTAAACCTGTTTTTAATTGTTTGTGGTGGGTTCCGTGTTTCTACTAGCATTTGTGACGCCCGCATGGAGCGTAGGTTTATATATGTATATGTATGGGTATATGTATATGTACATTCGCGAATGTACGTGTGTGCATATGCATAGGACACCGCTGCGCCTGGGTAAGCCAAGTACCTACGTGCGCGGACACGCGTATGCATACATATAAGTGAATAGGTAACCCCCCTTTGAGCACTTGTACCTAGAGGGAGCAGCTGACAAATCCAGCTTACGTTCATTAGAAGGACCGGTAAACCAGCCGAATCACTTACAGGCCCCTGTTTTCCAGAACCGTGGACGTGCGCAGAGCCGCCCTTGAGTTAACCCTCGTTTGAATCTCCGCATGTCCTCCATTTAACGCTTTTGTATATTTAAACATATACCCTTGTATATGCGCAAATATATATATGTATATAATATATATAGCACGTACAGGTACATGTTTGTGTAGAGAGAACAGTCTGTACAGCGAGACTCTGTTGTACGCTTGAATGAGTAACGGAGCTGTGTATTATGATGTGCTAGCGCGTATTATGTTACATAGCAGTGTAGCATATAGCATACAAGCAGACGTCGCGAAGGGCATCATCGCGCACCCCCGTAGTACGCATTTAACTCGATTGCCACGTCGAGACGCTGTTTAAATGCTACACGCATTGCAACGGTCGCGCGGACTTCGCCCGAGAATTGCACTCTAATTTGGGAAAGTGTTTTTTCAGAGAAGGTAGCAGGCTTGCATTGGGTAAAGGGTAGCGGAGAAGTGTGTTGACGCAACTGAGAAAAAAAGTGGGCTCAGGTTGGTCAGAATAGGCCATAAGTAGCACACCGAGCAGAGCGAAAAGCACAAAGCATATATACCACGCGATATACTCCGCGCCAACCCTGACAACGCACGAATACACGCACGGAACGTACTAGCATTACACAAGATGGGGCCCTACATGCACCAGAGGAACCAACCCATGTCCCTGTTGATCAGGAAGCTAAAGTATGACACATCGCCCTCGATGGTACGCGAAAAATTTAAAAAATTTGGAGCCATCAAAGATGTGTACCTACCTATAGACTACTACACGAAGGAACCCAGAGGGTTCGGATTTGTTGAATTTTACGACCCTAAAGATGCAGAGCAAGCATTAAAAGAAATGAACGGGTCTGAGATAGATGGGAATAGAATAGAAGTTTTTGTAGCCCAAAAGGGAAGGTCAGATCCAAGACTTATGAGATATAAAGAAAAAGGAGGAAATCCATCAGGACCATATCCCTATAGAAAATATTCCGATTATAGAAGCAGAAAAAGATACATTTCTAAATCAAATTCTAGGTACAGATCGTATTCTAGGGATAAAATAAGAAGAAGAGATGACAGATCAAGAGAAAGGGTTAGGTCTAGAAATAGCTACGACAGAAGGATGGAAAGTTATAGGGATAAAAAAAGCTACTACCCAAAAAGTAATTATAGTAAATATAGAAATAAAGATTATGACCGAAGTTGTAGTAGGAGTAGACGATCCAGGGATTACAGAAATGATAGCCCTAGGTATAAAGAAAAAAGGAGATATGATAAATACTACAGAAGTGGCAGTAGAAGAGTAAGCAGAGAGGGAGGTGCTAGGGATGATAAGTATGAACGTAGGAGTAGACATGACAGAAAGGATAATTATAAATCCAAATATGATAGTAATGATGAATATAGTGATGAAACTAGAAATTCTAGTAAGCATTCAAAGAAGCAACGTGATTCTAAATCTATATCTTTTAATACTGATAAGGACGAAGCGAGAAAAAAAAATGACAATGCTGATGATAAGGATAATTCTAAGGATTGGCGTGAGAGCGAAGAGAGGATGGATGATGAACATAGCAACAGGAGGGATTCTGTGAATAGCCAGGATGAGGAATCAAGTTAGGCGGTTCTTCCCTCCTTCCTGGGTGCTGAGCTGAAGGGAACTGTCGGGCCAATGGATGAACCTGTAAGTGTTACCCGGCCAAGTGCGCTTTGTGAGGGGGGGGGGGGGGGGGGGGCGCAGTGTGGGTGTTTATCTGTGTTGTGAAAATGTGCATGTGCATATGCATGTGTATGTGCGTGTGTAGGTGGAAGGATGCGTCCAAGCGGTTGCCAAGTAACTTCTAGCTATTCACTTTTCCTTTACACATCTCCTTCTCATTTCATTCCCCACCCTTTTACAGAACAACCAAGAGGTTCACATTTTGTTAAGCAGGGCGTTTTCCAAAAGCATAATTTCATTTTTCAATCATATATGCAAAAGTGAATTCATAACTGCCGTTAGTAAGATGACAGTCTCAAGGCTTCAGTCACGCGTGTTGCTGCGCTGTGCGAGTTACGTCTCGGTGGTTCACGGCTCGCCCGTTGCGCTTTTCCCGCCACAGTTCGCCAGCTTACATTTGGCCAATGACGCTTTGTTAACCACGTTTTGCCAGCTGCACCTAATCAATCGCGTCTTTATCTCCCCTTTTTTTTTTTTTTTAATTATTTTTTCTTTTGCGTTCTCTTCATATATAATTAATAAAAAAATTTAGTCAGTAACATTTCCCATTTTACTCTCACGTTTTTTTTTTTTTTTTTTTTCCTTCCTCCACTTTTTCTCCATTATTGTGCCACCCCAAACGATTTATTTAGTATAATGTTGTTGGTTTTTAATTATAAATATTCAAAAAAAAGAAAATAAAAAAATGGATTAAAATACATTTTTAAAAATAATAAAAGAATGGAAATGAAAAGAAATTAAATCACGAGCAAAAAAAAAAAAAAAAAGGCCAAGTTCCTTGAGGAATACGTTCAGACAACGGAACTCAACGAATATGTCATGCTCGAAAAAAAAGTACGTAGCACTTGCACAAACGCACGCGCACCCGTGACCGTTCTCTCTTCGTGCCCACTGGCTTGGAAAAGACATACCATATTAACATGCCGAGCATGGCTTAATTTGATTTGGGTTAGAGAACAAAAATCTACACCCCCTAAAAAAAAAAAAAAATCAACAGAAAAGAGGACGGGATGGTGTTACCAGATGTTTTTCCCTTTTGTTTTTGTTTTTTTTTTTTTTTTGCTTCCTTCGGTTCATCCTTAAATTTTGTATGCCCCTCCGATGTTTGTATAATTACTTCTTTGATGTTGCCTCCCTGCCTTTCTCGTCTTACGCGCTTGTTGGAAGAGTTCACCTGAAGAGGATGCTTCTTCCTCAGGTGTTACATTGCTCAAGTTGATTTTGCACACATTTATAATTTCACCCCCATGCAGCCCCATTTTTCTTACATGTATAAAATTTAAAGGGCAATATGAAAATCGCAATACTAAAAAATTGCCTCATTTTCAAACAGTGCGTAAGAGTGGTGGAACGGGACTCTTTTCAATCTATTTAAAACATATGGAAAATTCAAGGTGGTGCGGATATGGGAAAGCTATTCTTTGGAATTAATTTTTTCATTTTTTTGTCCCACAAGGGGAAAGCAAACATATATGTAACTTAGCTAAGTAAGGTGAACAAGAGTATGACTCACGGTTGGGGGAAATAAATAAATAACGCATACAGCCCAGAATGTCTCAACTAGGAGTAATTTCTAGAGAGAGTCCACAAATGAGCCACAAACCAGTGTCTATTCAGTAAATGCGCTTTATTTTGTTAGCACCTTTTGAGATGGGAATTTTTTTTTTGTTCTTTTAAATATTAAAAGGGTATGCACCTCAGTGTGTCATTATGCGCATGAGAACATGTTGCACAGTTCATTGAATTTTTGTCAAGCAATAGGCATCAAAAAGAGGAGCATGCATCTACTACGCTCAGTTGCCGAGCATGGTAGGGGAATTAGCTTAACAGAGTTTTTTTTATCCAGAAGAATTTTTTGTACAGAAAAAAGTTCCTCTCTGCTCGCTTCTCCAATGTGATACTTTGTAGTGATCGTCATTGTGCGCTTAATGTAACTTACTGTTGGTGATTGGAAATAGCTTCAGAAAGAATGACATAGTTTTTGGGTTGACGAGCTAGGGGCTATCTACCCCATACGGTGAACATATACATGTGATGTTACCCCATTTGGAGGGGGAAAATACACATAATTGTATTTAAGGAGACGTAGTTGTCTCGTCAGTTGTTATGTCTATTAAGATGAGTAAAACGGAAAATGCAATTATGCACATTGAGGAGGGGAGGGTTTTTTCATCATGGCATTTTGCTAGGTCTACAAAGACAGGTTACATTTGGGTGGACATAACAATCAGTGCCATTATGTTTAACATTTTTTTCTTTGTTTATCTTATAATGGGCGTGGAATCAAGTACAGAATGGCACAAAAAGGATGTCCATTCTTTTTTTTTTTTATTATTATTTCTTCATTTTTGCGGGCACGCCACATCACCCATGTACGTTCAGCCTTTTCCCTTTCACCAAGGTCATCAGTTAACCTACCAGAGATGGAAAAAATTGATAAGCGCCTTAAATTTACTTACAAAAAATTGCATCACATTGTAAAATACATTCGTTTGTGTCTGTTGAGGACTTTCGTTTTCAGGCTCCTGTTTTTGTTCTTTGTCCTGTTCTGCCTCTTCTTCAATTCCTTCCTTTAAGCTTTTTTCTTCGTAGAGAGCATTGGACTTGTTTCCTGCTGCGGGAGCTGCAGCTGCCTTTGTCCCTTGCTTGTTTGGCAATTCCGTGGCTTTCTCCGCCGAAGTCGCTCCGTTTGCGGGAGGCGTTGCTTCAAGTTTTGCTGCTGTCGTTTGTGCTTGTCTGTTTTTATGCAGTTTTTTCAAATCCTCCTTTTTTGGCTTGGACTGTTCTGGAATTGGGATTTTCATTTTTTCCACCTCGGATGCTTGGGCATGTTGTCTGCCTTCTTTCAGTGCTCGTACTGCGCTTTCTTTTACTAGTGTGGCGGCAAATTCTGTTAATTTCTTAGCATGTTCCGCTTGAGCCTTTGCTTCCTTTGCCTCTGTTACAGTTTGGGCCTTGTTGGCTTTCTCGGCGGCGTCTATCGCATCTTTCCTTGCCCTTTCTGCGTCTCTCGCTGTGAGAATGGCATCCACCTTTGACTCTGATGTTATTTTCCCCTCTACATGGTCGCCCAAAAATGCTATTACCTTTTGGGAAGCTGTGGATGCCAAGTCCGCTAACATTTGTACCTCTTCAGCGATTAGCTCTGTTTCTTCCACTATATTTTCTATTTGATTTTTGTCATCTTCATTTTTTCCTTGCGCGGGGACACCTGGTCCTTGATGCTTCGGTCCTCCTGTTTTTTCTTTATTCGCATTGTGCTTATTTTGGTTATTCTGGGAGTTGTTGCCACCACTGCCGCTGTTCGCAGGAGCATTATTGTTACCATGAGGTGGAGGCGGGATCCTAATGTTAGGTTTTTCGGGTTCTTTTATTTCATTGTTTGCAACGCTATAGTGGAGCACGTAAAAATTCAGGAAAAATATAAAAAGAGAAAAACTCCAAGTGCGTTTCATTATGTATATATATATATGTGTATAATTTAAAAAAAAAAAAAAAGGAGAGTGACCTATTTTGATGTGAATAACACACAACAGGAGGTAAGAATTTTGGGTGTTATTTCACACGACGTGTTTTTGGTTCAAAAGGAAATTATCTGTTCTTTTTATTTCGTTTATCTTTTCTATGTCTATATAAAAGAACAAAATGCATTGAAACGAAATAGCTGCTGTGACAGACAGAAGAGCAAAAATGGGAAGGTGCCAGTTTGTTACTATGAAATAAAATGTACGAATTGGAAAAAAATTAATTGTTAACTGCGTCTTTTTTAAATCGTCCTTTTGAGTGGCAATTGAAAAATGCATATTGGAAATTGCACATTGAAAATTGTAAGTTGAAAAATAGAACGGGAAAATTGTAAATTAAAAAGTGCAAATTAAAAATTGCAGGTTTTAATCGGAGTGCCAGAACGAACAGGTTAAGATGGCAACGAAATTGTTTTTGTGAATCGCGTAGGGTCAATGTCTCGGCACTTTTGGGGGTGAGAAGCGAACCCCCCCAAAAAAAAAGAAAAAAAAAAAAGGAAAGTATACAAATATATATACATATATATATATATATATGTATATACGTAATATAATATGTACATATCCAAAGTGTGAGTAATACTTTTAATTGTTATATGTAGTGCCCCTGAGCGCGTGAAAAATGCACACCTTCGATGAAATTAATTCTTCTATAAATATACCCCCATTTTATGTATATTCTGTCGCATAGTACTGTGTGTGTTAAATAGGCATTTTTAACGCGTTCGTGTTGCCCACTCACAGTGTGTAAGGTAAGGGCGTGGTGTAGATATGTGCAAAGGTGGGAGGAAGAAAACAGATATACGTATTACTCTCATATGAGAGAAAAGACTTTCTATGATTTCTTTTTGTTTTTTTTGTTACGCTATTTAATTTATTCAATAAAAATATCATGTCACTTATTTTACATAAAGATATTTTTACCTAAATGATGTATACAAAATTGGGGTGAACCCCACAGACGCCTGAGTCCCCAAACGGTTGCGCCACACCTATGGGAAGATTTTACTTGAATTTATTTTGCCCACTTGTAGAGCACATTGCTCCTCGTGTGGTAATTACCCTATTTTGCTTAAATTGTTTCGGAAGGAAAAAATAGAAAATTAGAAAAAATAGAACAAATAGGGTACTACTTAAAAGAACAAATTTAAATAAATTTTTAAAAAATGCGAGGGATGATATTGCGTCGCGTAGCTGTTCAGCAAAACCGCAAGAATGAAGTTCCCCTGACACTTCATTTTTAAAGACAAAACGAAAAAAAAAGATACTATTATAATAATGCGTTAAAATGCGTCAAGACAGCCACTTTTACGTACACATATACATATGCGCAGCAGGAGATGTCATTTGGTACGTTATTCCTGTAATTGAAATTTGTTCTTTCATTTGACAAACTAAAGGATATATTTTTTTGCAGTTTTTCTAATTTTGTCACTCTCTTCTTATGGGTACAAAGTTTGGCGGAGACTTCTCCCGTTGCGTCCTCCAAGTGCAGTCGTGTCAGTGACTCTTTTCGGAGTCTCCCCTTTTTTATTGCCCTTCCTCTCAAAGGGAGATGCTGCATGGTTCGCCTTACAATAAGTGTAGCAATCTTCGCGTCAGTTTTGACATCGGTAAAGGGGAACATAACTGATGGTATTGCTGACAAGCGCGAAATATTCTAGTGCAAATTCCCTACCCAATAAAAATGAACTCACTTAAATCTTTCGCTAAATCCTTGAGGGTGTCTAAGACATCTGTGTCCCCGTCAATTGTGTTAATTATATTTTTGGTCAATCCGTGAGTTTTTTTTTTTAAGTCCATAATATTTTTACTGTTGTCTGCGAGGAGCGCTTGGGCTTTGCTATCACTTAGTGGTTTGCCAGCCTGTTCCGGGGATTGCTTACTTTGATTTTTGGCTTGAGGCGCAGTGTCACTAGGGGGCGGGTTATCTGCCTTTTTCTTTCCTTCTTGTTTTTGCTCTTCTACCTCTCCTTTGTTCGTGTCTCCTGTGTTCGTCTCTTCTGTGTTCGTGTCTCCTGTGTTCGTCTCTTCTGTGTTCGTGCCTCCTGTGTTCGCCTCTTCTGCGTTCTCCTCTTCTGCGTTCTCCTCTTCTTCTTTCTCCTCTTCTGTGTTCGTGCCTCCTGTGTTCGTCTCTTCTGTGTTCGTGCCTCCTGTGTTCGTGCCTCCTGTGTTCGTCTCTTCTGTGTTCGTCTCTTCTGTGTTCGTCTCTTCTATGTTCGTCTCTCCTTCGCCAGCTTCTCCGTCGTCTGACTCTGCTTTTTCCGTCTCTTCTCCTTTGTCTTCCCCTGCTTCCTCTTCTTCGTCTTGTTCCTGTTCTTCAATTTCTTCTTCTTCTTCCTCCTCGTCCTCAATGTCGATGTCGTCATATTCTTCTTCCTTTTCAGATGATGTATCGTTCACTTCTTCATCTTCCTGTTCCTCTTCTTCCTCCCCTTGGTCTTTTTCTTCGTTTCCCTGTTCCTCAATTTCGCTCAGAACCTGTTCGTCATTATCGACTTCATTGTGACCTTCTTCGGAGTACTTTTCCACAATTTCTATAATTTTGTGTTTTTTCTTTATGGCCGATTCTTCTGCTATTTTTTGTGCCTCCTCCGCAGCTTTTTTCGCGTTCTTTGCTTTGTCTGTTGCTTCATTGGCTGCAGATTCGGCTGCCTGGGCTTTCTTAACTGCTTCTTCTATCGCCGCAAAAGCTTTCGTTTTAGCCTGTATAAATGTTTCCATCGATGTGGCTCCCTTAGCTGTCTCCAATTCCTCTTCGGCTATTTTTAATTGTGCTTGCGCTGCATGTGCGTTTTCCACTGCTTCTTGTGCTTTTTTTTCTACTTCCTTTCCTTCTTCCTTCGCAGCTTTTGCTGCTTCCTCCGCTAATTCTGTTTCCTCCTTTGATTTTTCTGCTGATTCGACTGCTTTTTTCGCCTGTTCTTTTGCTACTCCCGCTACTGTGGTTGCCTTTTTTGCTTTTTCCAGAGCTTCTACTGCTATTTTTTCTTGTTTTATTACTTCCTCTTTATTCTCTTTTGCTGCGTTTACAGCTGCATCTGCTTCCCTATTCACATCTGTAGCTTGTTTCAAGGCTTCTTTTATTTTTTCTGCGCTCTCTTTTGTTACGTTTGCAGCATCAGTAACACCATTGGTACCCTCTTGTGCATGACCGTCGCCACCATCACCACCATTGGGTCCATCGCCTTTACCTTCGCCAACCTCCTTGTTATTTGCGCTAGAGGACTCACTACCCCATTCAGTACACCCACTATGTGTGATGCCTGGTAAACAAACTCCATAGGGATTTATGTCACTGGAACTTCCTGAGGAACCTGCTGGATCTGGGTTTGGATTAGGTTTAGGTTCAGGTGTACTGGGTGTAGAGAGATCATCTTTCCTACTATTGGCGATGACGTCTTCACCGGGTTTAGAGCAATCACTTTCCCTATCTCCCAAACTCAGGTCTCTTACCTTGAACACCACTCTTTGTATCACTACCTGCATCGGCTGTTTCACTGGCTTGCTTATTTGTCTGACCGTTATCTCCTACACTTTGTCCATTATTTCCGCTAGAGGACTCACTACCCCATTCAGTACACCCACTATGTGTGAT